TTATGTTTTTACTTGAGTTCCTAGAAATGAGTTAGCATTTCCTCTTACTTAATAGTTAAGACCCTGAAGCCGGGCGGTGGTGGCGCACGCCTTTAATCCCAGCACTCGGGAGGCAGAGGCAGGCGGATCTCTGTGAGTTCGAGACCAGCCTGGTCTACAGAGCTAGTTCCAGGACAGGCTCCAAAGCCACAGAGAAACCCTGTCTCGAAAAACCCAAAAAAAAAAAAAAAAAAAAAAAAAAAAATAGTTAAGACCCGAGGTTCTCAGCCTTAGGGAACCTTGAATTGAGAAGCAGAAGTCAATATGGGAAACTATTCTGTGGCAAAAAGCTTTATGAAGTTGAAATCTCCAGTAATTGCAGCTTTAGTTGTTCCTTATAGACACTTAAGTCAGTGAAGTTTGGAGGGCTCTGTCGTAGGTAAATCTCAAAACTATACTATGTGAAAAAAGAAAAGGTATACCGTATCTCAAAATTCTAAAAACATACAAAGTAGAGTTGACAAGATGACTCAGCAGGTAAAAGTGATTGCCACCAAGTCTGATAATCTAAACTCAATCTTCAGGGCCCGCAATGGTAAAAAGAGAACTCCCAAAAATTGTCCTCTGACGATGGCACATATGCTCACACAGACACAAAATAAATATTAAAGAAAATACAAACTAATTCTCACACACACACACACACACACACACACACACAAACAGGCCAGTGGTTTCCTTTGAAAATGGAGATGAGAAATAATTTATACATATATATATATATATATATATATATATATGCACAAAGTAACACATCAGTGCACACTTTATTTACTACTCTGGTGTATAAAAATGTAAGTTACTAAGTTCTGTGCCTTAAGCATATAATGATTTGTACGTGTCAGTTACGTTTCTATAAAGCTGTTAAAATATAATAATCTAGCTGAGGCATATATGGGGCGATAAGGGAAAGGCAATTCCTTTATTCTGAAGTAAGTACTTTTTTTTTCAAAAATTTCCCCCTTACTAGAACCTTTCAAAGTTTCATTTCTGTTGCTTTAATGAATACCTTGACAAAAATTAAGACAGTGTTTAGTTAAAGTATTAAAGAAAAAAGTGTTTATTTGGCTTACAAATACGAGCTATATTTAACCCTGTAAACATAAGGGTTAAAAGAAAGTACTCCTGCTGGGCAGTGATACTTTAATCCCAGCACTCCGGAGGCAGAGGCAGGCAGGTGGACGTCTGAATTCGAGGCCAGCCTGGTCTATAAAGTAAGTTCCAGGACAGCCAGGATTGTTACACAGAGCCCTTGTCTCGAAAAAACAAAACAACCCCCCCAAAACAAACTAAAAAAAAAAATACATGAAAGCCTGAGTGTAGGCTTCTCAAAGACTTGTATCACACTCTGATACATCCTCCACATGGCTAGCATAGATATTCTTTTCTTTTTGAATGAAATCCAATTAAGCCTTTTTATGTTAAAAATATTATTCCATTCCATCGACTTCAGAATCAAAGGATCTCAAGACTTAGCCACGTATTTCAGTCTTGTCTCAGTGGTGCACAATAAGGGCACATACGCAGCCGAAGTACTTGTTGCTTCCCAGGCTTACTAGGTTATCTTGAGACTTTCAATGTTGTTTCTGCTGCCCACGAGCTTTCCTTTTTCCAGCTCTGCCTCACTTTCTCATTTACATTGCCCTGGTTAGAAAACAAATTATTCTATCAACAATCTGTATTATGTTAAAATTTGGTCTAAACTAGTTATGATGATGTACCCTGCGATCTCAGCACTCCAGAATCTAACACAGAAGAATCAAACTTAGGCCAGCCTGGCTACATGAGTTTGAGGTCAGTCTTGAATTAAAAGTGGATTTGTGTTTTGTTTTGTTTTGAATGTATAGGTATTTTCCCTACACGTGTATCTGTGTACTGCATGTACTCTGGTGCCTGTGGTGGCCAGAAGAGGACATGTGACCACCTGGGTTACATCTGGAATTACAGGTGGTTGTGAGCCACAGTGTGAGTGCTGGGGATAGAAACCAGATCCTCTGGAAGAGTCCAGTGCTCTTTCATTGCTGAACCATCTCTCAAGCTCCTGAGATTGTTTTTAAAAACTGTACTTGTAAGTTACTTTCGTTGAAAGACAGAATGCCTTTGAAACATAAGAACATTACAGTGACTTTATTTCAAGATAACACACAAAAGAGCTAATTAAGTTTTGTGAAACTAAGTGACAATAATAGTATTAAACTGAATTCTGTGTTCTAAAGTAAGAGCAAAGAGGAATGCATTAATTACAGTTTTCCAAAGAAACACTGACATTGGCTCTGACACTATCATGAAGGCCACTAAGTCCCAAAACGTTACTTTTATATAATGGTGAACAAGTAAAGGTAGTGGAATAAATCAGTCCAAGTCTGAGGGTCTGGAGGGTAGAGTGGAGGAAGCTATAAAAGCTTCATTGTGAATCCAAAGGTCAGAAAACCACAAGTACTGATGTCCATCTGGGGCCGGAGAAGATGCATGTAAGAAAAAAGAAGCAGGTTTCCTTTCGTGTGCAATTAAATTTTATTCAAAATCTCAATGAATTGAAAAACTTGTTTGCATTGAGGGCGGTCTTCTTAGGTCTCAGTCCACTGATTCAAAGGGTAATCTCTCCCAAGAACACTCTTAAGGATTCACCAGGAATAGTGTTTTACCAACCATCTGGGCATCCGTCTACCCAGTCAAGTTGACACATAACGTGTCAAAGGTAGCCATCACAAGTACTTTGCTTATAGCTGGGATGCTGTCCCTTCCCTAGAAGAGGTTTTTGAAAAGTGTTTACTTTTAACTTAAATATTATGATATAAAATTAACAAGATTTAAAATACTGATAAGGTATTAATCCATATTGTATAATGTGATAGAGTAAGTAAAGTAATTGCTGAATATTTGTAAATATATAAAAAGTATGCATGTCCACACACATGAATTCATTAAAACAAATTCATGCCAAGCAAGAGAAAAAGCTTTCCTGCTTACTTTTCGTTTGCAGGGATTATTTCAAGGATAGTTTAAGTTGGCTTGTAACATTTTCCTTACTACTTGTTTCTGCAGATCTCATTTTAGCCTGGCCTAGAATTCAGCAGTAGCCCAGGCTGACCTTAATTCATGATCCTCCTGCTTTGCTTCGTAGGTGCTGGGATTACAGAAGTGTGCTGCCAGATGCCAGTATTCTGTTTAGTGCAATTCTGTTCCATAGATACATTACCCAAATCAACTGCTAAGAATCTGGGTTGCTTGTTTTCGAATAGCATGACTAGTAGCTACTATGAACATTTGTGTATATGTTTTTTGTAGGAAAAAAATACACTAATTCTTTTTTCTAATCTCAAAGATTTGTGCACGGCTCATTACAGTCCAAACCCTACCAATTTAAGGTTAAAATGATGTTTTCAACATGAAAGCACAGCTTTTGTTTTGAAACCCTGTTATTATGTAACCCAGGCCTCCAACCAGAGTGCTCCTTCCTCTAGCTCCAGTGCTGGGATTACAGGAGTGTGACACCATGCCCTGCCAAAATACAATTTTCTCAAACAGTATTAATTTAACTTTGTAAGAATGATATTTTATTAAAAAGAAAGGAATGATATTTTAAACCAGAGAGTATAAATTTAATTGGATTTTTATGCAAGCAATAATACATGTTTCACTTGAGCTCCAAATCATGTATTTGCAGGATATGCAAGTGAGCTTTAAATATAAAATCTTATATTTTATTGCGTAAATATGTATTGACTGGGGGTGCATTTTATTTTATTTATTTATTTTTAATATTTATTTATTTATTATGTATACAATATTCTGTCTGTGTGTATGCCTGCAGGCCAGAAGAGGGCACCAGACCCCATACAGATGGTTGTGAGCCACCATGTGGTTGCTGGGAATTGAACTCAGGACCTTTGGAAGAGCAGGCAGTGCTCTTAACCTCTGAGCCATCTCTCCAGCCCCTGGGGGTGCATTTTAGACAGGGTTTCATGTCATACATGCTGACCTCAAACTTTAAAAAGATTAATGCATGTGAGTGTTTTGCCTCCATGTATTTATTACATGCATGCCTGGTGCCCATGGAGGCCAGAAAGCATCAGATCCACTGGAACTGGAGTTAAAGATGATTGTGGGCCACTGTGAACCTGGTCCTCTGGAGGAGCAACAAAAGCTCTTAACTTCTGACTATCTCTCCAGCCTCTGGATGACCTTGAATTCCTGATCCTTCTGCTTCTGTCTCCTAAGATTAGGATTATAGGCCTTCCATACCCAGATAAAACATTGTATCTTCACTAAAGAAAAATTTGCATTTCTTCAATTAATGATGTAGGAGATAAACAGCATAATATCAGCCAACGCTACTTTTCAATGTATGTTAATGTATCACCACATTACAATTCTCATAAATACTGGCAATACCATTCTCTTTCAAAATGTGGGTCTTTATTGACCTATTAGATCCTACTGTGTTTATTTGTATTTCTTTTGAGTAAAGAGTTTTACATATCCTAAGCAGACCTTGAAGTTGATACAAGAAGAGGATAAATTCCAACACGTCCACTGCTGCTCTAATCCCAAGTGCTGGGGTTACAGGAATGCTGCTGCCACCCGGTTATTAGGTGCTAGGGAACTGAACGTAGTGCTGGATACACACTGCACCCACGGAGCTGTTCTGTGTCTATAAAACTTACTCATACCATGTTTGTGCCCTCTCTCCCTCCTCTCCCCCCCCCTCCCCTCAGTTTTTCATGACAAAGTTTCGCTGTGTAGCTTAGAGCCCATCCTGAAACTCACTCTGTCACGGCTGGCCTTGAACTCACAGAGATCCTCCTATCTTTGCCTCCCCAGTGCTGGGATTAAAGGCATGTGCCACCATCGTCCAGCTCTTGCTTTCTCTTAAAAATGATAACTGTACTTCAAAGTCGTTTTAGTATTAATTTTAATATATATCTATAAATATGTGTGTGTTTATATATGAAACATTATTTTGAGACAGGTCAATAGCTTTAATGAACTGTCCACATATTTTTAAACACAAGAACTCTGACCTCAAATTTGTCCCACTGTGCTGTGCTTTGTTGCATAGCAGTGAAGTTTCAGTGTACTTTTACATTGAAGCTTGTTAGATTAGGGCAACGGGAACTGGTTTCTTTGAATCTTCTTCATTGTCCTCCCTTTGAGTTCCTGATTGGTAGGTTCCAGTGTTTCCCACTAATCACTGCACCCTGGCTTCTGAAAGTACAAAACAAATGGAAAAAGAAGTCAAATTAGATTCAGCTGTCAATTTAATTTTTTTAAATATTTATTTATTTATTACGTATACAATATTCTGTCTGTGTGTATGCCCGCAGGCCAGAAGAGGGCACCCTACCCCATTACAGATGGTTGTGAGCCACCATGTGGTTGCTGGGAATTGAACTCAGGACCTTTGGAAGAGCAGGCAATGCTCTAAACCTCTGAGCTATCTCCCCAGCCCCTCAGCTGTCAATTTAAAACACAACTATAAAACTCCATTTAGTAAATCTGAAGTTAAATACCTGCATTCAACTTAATAGGTCTGTCCCCTTTGTATGACAACAACCTGTGCCCTAGTTTCTTCATTTGTAAGAGAGCTTATTTGTAGAAATAAGAATAGTGCCTGGTACATAATTTTCTACATATTATTACTTCAATATATTGTGCATTCACCATCATGTATTCATCCAGTTAAGTGTCTGAGCTGTGGTTGATAAGGAGCAGCAGTGTGTGGAGGGGATAATGAGGACACAGTATGACGTATGTATATATGACACTGTCACAGGGAAACCCATTATATGTATGATATCATAAAAAGGTAAGCACTGATGTAACCTGTCCAGCCTACAGTGTCAGTGTCCATTCACATTATGACATTTACAACACAGCAGCTGAGAAAGGGCAGGCGTCATCTAAATAGTAGTGAAGGAGACCTGTAAGATGTGGAACCAGACCAGAGTCGTAAATAGAAAAGAGCAGTAAGAACTCCCATCTGGGTTTCTCCCAACACCCCAATGCCTAATTCTTTGCTTCTGCTTAAACTGGTTAGCATGAAGACAGAACAATGGGTTGTTTTCAGGGAGGAGGAAGTGTCAGAGGTGGCCAGGAGAGCATGAAGTAAGTACTCAGGGTTTTATAACTCAAATGGTCCACATAATCTCTATCACTTGGGAGCTTGTTGTAATGTATAATCCGGGGCTTCTCCTCAGGTCTACTAAATCAAAACCAGCGTTTTAAACTACACTACAGGTGATTCCTATGGACACTATTTGAAGCAGCTGTATTCCACTAATTGGCTATAATATATATTATATATAGTGTGTATATACATGTATATGTATAGTACAGAATGTATACCCTTATTCTTAGACTATACATTAGAGCCTTCGTCACTTTTTATCATTTTAATTAGGGACTACTTTCTGCAACAGGTTTTCAAAATTCAATTTATTTCCATGTATTCCTGAATGATTTACCCACTTTGTGGGGTTATTCATGGGTGCTGGAAAACCCTAAAGTAGGTTAACCCTTTCTGCCTTTAAAAAATTAAAGGCTTAGTTTTTAACCTAAAGGATACACTAGATGACAAACGGTCCTCTACACCTTAAACACGACAGATTAAAAACTGGGCAGTGGTACACTTTGAGATCTCACCCACTGAATTTAATCCAGACTTATTCCCTAATGTTTTGCCACTTTGGGGCTCAAAAACTGAAACGGCAACGGGAGAAATCCAGACTTATTCCCTAATGTTTTGCCACTTTGGGGCTCAAAAACTGAAACGGCAAAGGGAGAAAGAAGATTCTATTCCTCTCGCTGATCCACACCTGATTTAGCGTGACATCGGGGACCAAGGCTCAATGCAATCCGACCACAATTAAACCGCATTGTTAAGGCTGTGCTAACGCAGACCCCTGCAGGCCTCTGGTCGGATTGGGCGCTCGGGGTTTATCACGCACATCGTCCCGCACGTGGCGGCGCTATCAGCACTCAGCCTGGATCTGTTTCAAATTACCGTCCCTAATTTCAGGGGAGCCTCCTCCCGCGGCCCGATCCCTCCGAGGACCACGGGAAGAAATCTCCATCACCTGGGCCACCGGAAACCGGGACCCCGCGGGCCCTCCCACAGCGCACCCCCGATTGGACGCCGAGAGGGGCTGCGTCTGCGCGCGCGCGCGCGCGCGCCGGCCGGCCTGGGGAATTCCATTTCCTCTCCCGCCCACCAGCATCAGCACTCAGGGGCGGTGCTCTCCGCCAGGGACCCGCCCAGTGAGAACTTAGGGGGACCGGCGCATCTCGCGATAACTTGCGGGTTTGGGGGCGGGTCCCAGGCAGGAAGAGAGCACAAAACTGCCCTTAAGTCATTGCAGCCCCGGAGCTCCGGTGAGCCTGCCACGAGGTTCTCGCGAGATCCGCCGCCTCCATACCAAGTGAGGAAACCGGGGGCCACTGTAGGGAGGGGCGTGGGGCCTCAACCGCGCAGCTGCCGCTTCCATTACCTTCCTCCTAAGGTCTCCTTCCGGTTCTCGATGCTTCTCTGGGTCTGAGGGTTTCCGCCACTCGTCTACCCTCCCCCTCAGCCCATGACCCGCCTCCGTCCCCCGCCCTCCTGGCCCGACCTCCGATCTGTCTAGTAAGAAGGTGCTGTCCCGACCCGGAGACGGCAAGAGGGTGGCGCGTCCACTCGGGCCTGGACGAGGGAGGCAAACCGCTCCCTTCCAACCCTCGGCTCGCCCTGCGCTCGCGACGGCGGCGTTGGCGGACGGATACGCGGCGGTGAATAGGCGGGCGGGCGGGCGGGCGGCGGGGGGGAGGGGCGGAGCGTGGCAGCTGGCAGTAGTTCCGTCAGAGCGGACATCTTGTGGCTGTGCCGTGCGCGTGAGCCCCGTAGGGCCGGGGAGGCACCAGCTGCCGCGCGGGGAGGAGGCCGAGGCCGCAGCTTGAGGGAGGCCCCGGCCCCCCTGTACGCGTGGGGTGTGGATGGCTCGGCCGAGGGGGGGGGCCGGCGCGGAGCCCCGGGCTGTGGGCGGCCCGAGTGGGCAGCCCTCAGGGCTGGGTGGGGTAGGGTGGGAAGGCCGGCGAGGCCGGGACCCGATGGGGGGGGCGGACATGGGCGCGTCCTCGCGCCGGGGCTGGAGCTTGGTGGCCGCCGGGCGCGTGGTGGAGGAGGAGGTGGTGGCTAGGCGCGCGCACGTAGGAGCGCGTTGTAAGGCGGAGAGTAAGGTGGTGTCCGGGGCGACACGGAACAGCCCCGGCTGTGGGGACGGCAGCACCCAGGAGCTCCGTTGCCCTGTGCTGGCCCGCCGACCTTTGGAGCAGAAACCGAAAGGAGCCCGGCGCCGGGCCGGAGCCTCCCGCTCCCATCCCCCTTGCCTTTCTTTGCCCTAGTGACGCCGGCCTAGCGCCGACTAGGCCCGGGCTCCTCCTCTGCCCGGCTCTGGACCCTGCCCCGCACCCACCCCTTTCTCCTCCACCTCTTCCTCTCCCACCCGGGGCTCTTCCCTTTCGAGAGGCCGGGAAGTTAAACTTGTAACCTCCTCTCGGCTCTTCCCGTCACCCTCGCCCTCTCTGGGCGAGCCACGGATCGAAGTAGTTGGTGGCTTTGCTACCCCACCCTCCCCGGATCGCGACGGTTTTCAGGGATCTGGCATCAGCAGGGTTTCTCCGAGGCCTTGGCAAGTTTCTGATCTCCTCCGTTTTTGCAAAAGGCGCCTGTGTCTGGCAGAGCCGGTGTGAGAAGAGGAGACAGACCTTCCTCGCCACCGGGATAATCAGGAGTTTTGGCCGGACCTTTGAGTTCACATCGGGAGAGTGAGGAGCCCGGCAAAGAGCACAGACTATGGCGCTGAAACGGATTAATAAGGTAAGTTGTTGGAACTATGTGGTCCGAACCGGGGCCTGGGAAGGAAGGAAGGCTCGAGCCCTGAGAAAAGTGTGCTGGTGAGATACAGTTCTGAAAATGCCCTTTCTTGGGCTGCCTCTTTCGTTAGCAGAACGCGTGTGCACTTTCTGAAATGAGCTTTTATTTGGGGGAGCTGAACGCTTTGGGCAAGCGAAATGTTAAAGGCTGAGTTTGTTTCGCTAGAATCTGCAAATTCTGGGTGAAAGCGTAGCGTTTAGGCACGCCGGTTTTCTGCTTCACGAAGTTAGTTCGGTTTGGGAAGTGGGATTGTGTAGAGCCCTGGGGCAAATGTCATAGTACTGCTTCCTAATGTTGGTTCTTCAAAACTTACTTTAGCTGTGCTGTGCCTGTGGGCCTTCTAGGAAGAAAGGAACGAAACAGATGAAAAGAAAACGTTTTGTTGCAAACTTTGCTGAGGGTCAGGGTATTATAAACATACCTCGGTTTACTAAAAGGTAGTGACGAAGTCTGCCCAGAAGCTTAACCCAATCTGGGCAGTTACACAAGACCAAGTGGGGTTGGGAGGAGGTGGACTGGCACTGTTGCCACTTCCTGTGTTGTGTGGTCACCCGAAGCTATTTATCTGAAGTACCGGGAACTGATGTAAATGCCTTCAAGAGATCCCTGTGGTGTGGGGGTTGACAGTGGACGAACTGTTTTGTTTAGAACCTTTCTTAAGGAGGCTTATTTGAGCAGTTCAGTTAATTTGATAATTTGTCGATTTAAGTTAAAAAGAAACTTAAGATTTTTCAGAACTAGTTGTCTGAGCAGAACTACCTCTTCGGATGGTTTCGTCTTATTTTCTTCCTCTTAACTTCTATCCCGCATTTTAAGATGGCGGCTGCTTTAACTGGTTCGGGTTCTTTCTGGCATCTCCTTTTCTAATATACGAAATAATATTCTCTGCTAAGTGTTAACCGTTTTTTATCTGGTTGTAGAGAGTTCAGAGACCCTTTGCTTCCAAGACTTAAAACCTAAATCCACACTCTCAGACTGAATTTCTCTTAATTTATGTGTGTGTGGTGTACGTGGTTCTTGCACAATCGAGAGGGTGGAGTGTTTTACAGCTAACTTGAAAAAAATGTCATGGAATAAAGGCAGTCTTAGTAGAAAAGACAAAATAGGAAGGCTCGGTGTTAGAAACTGGCTCTTAGAGCATAACTTTGAGAGTCTGTGAAGGAAAGGCCAGGAAATGGATTGGCTGTTGGGGAGCTGTCTGATGCTACTTATTTACAGTTATTTACTGTGTTTAGCTTGCTAGGTTTAATTGGCAAGGCTAGAGTTCCATGAAAGTTAGAATCTTACCTGAATATACCGATGCTGAAATCTGAATTCTTGATGTCAGTGTGTAATCATTGTAGTTTTATGCAAAACACTAACTGGACTGTTGTATTGTTGTTGATAAGCAAAGGAGAAAAGCAAAACCTTAGGATTCAAGACTTTGAATAGATAATTTTAGAATAATCACTTTACTGTGACCATTTTGAGGGTGAATCTCCCATTAGAGATGCATTGTTCTTTCCTGCATACATATACAGAGACTATAACTTTCAGTACTAGTGAAAATAATTCAGATCTATAGCTGTTTATAAATGTAAAAATTACTTGAAGGGAAGGTCTTACTGATTTTTTTTCTTTTACAGGTGATACTCGGCTGCTCTGCCACCATTTTAATGACTTAAAAGCTCTAGAGAGACAGTAATGGTTAAGTGTGAACATTTGTAGTAAAATGCTTGGCGATAGAATCGAGCAAGTTTATCCATGAGGCTAATCTGTATAAGGAGTTTGTCTAGTTAGAGATGACAGAGAACAGATGGTTTGAAGAATTGTGTGTTGATACTTGATATGTAAGCTTTCTAATTTAGAGAAATATTTATATGCCACATGACTGATTCAACTTGTAGGGCATTTCTAATTTACCCCATATATATATATATATATATATATATAGTCAGAATCGTGAGACTTCTCTTAAAATGGCACCCAGATGCAAGCATAGTTTTTGAAAGTTCAGAAAGAGGATGTTTTTTTCTTTGGGTGGGGCGGGGGCATCATTTCTGTCAAAATAAGGGCCCAGTTAGCCATTGTCTTTTTTTTCTTTTCGTATTGTTCCCTGTTTTGAATTTATTCTTATGATTACCCCTAGCAAGTATTAGTATGACTGTAGTTCTTGGTATTTTATTAAAATTCTTATACCACTGTGAGCTTTAGAGATAAACTGGAATAAGTTGTTGGGTTTTTTATTTATTTTATTTTAACAGTAATTTTTCTTAGTATTTTTGACTGTTTTTTCTTAGCCCAAATAACCTTTTGCTGTAGTCGTTATTTGGACCAAATTGTAGTATGGTCCTGTTACTAAACTGGCATTTTAAAAGCTGAATTCAAATCTGTTTTGGGAGTTTTAAGAAATTTTACTGCTCCAAAGAAAAGTGACTGTTACATAGTTGGGGAACATTGAGAAACCAAGCCAAAAATGTTTTTGTTTTAAATAAAGTATTTGCAATGCTTTTGTTATAAAGTATTTGCAATGCTTCACAACTTTTAAACAGTATTTTCTAAGTAATTTTCTTACAGCAAATGTGGAAAAGTAGATACAGTTGACATCTTTCTTCACTGTGAAGAATTAAGTCACCCTTAAATTTAAAAAACAAAACCTCAGCCGGGCGGTGGTGGCGCACGCCTTTAATCCCAGCACTCGGGGAGGCAGAGGCAGGCGGATCTCTGGGAGTTCGAGGCCAGCCTGGTCTACAAGAGCTAGTTCCGGGACAGGCACCAAAGCTACAGAGAAACCCTGTCTCGAAAAACAAAACAAAACAAAACCTCATCCAGGTGTTGATGATGTAGCAGAGCTGGAACTAGAACCCAGGCAATCTAGATTGTTCTGGTAACCCCTGCATTTTTATACCATTCTCTTGTGCTAGTTAAGGCCTAGTGTAGGCTCTTGTGTAGTAGGCCTGAAAATTGCCATGTGACATACTCCATTTTATGGATGAGGTAACAGCATGGAAGTTGACTTTTGATTTGTTCAGTCACACAACTAGTGAGTAATGGGTTTCTAATAAGATAGGTTGTCTTTTGTACCATTTCAGTTCTTACTAAATGAATACGACTTTTTGTTTTCTACCTCATATATAAATAATCAGGATTTAGTTTGATTTTTATGTTATAACTAACTTGTAAATTAAGAGTGTATTT